GGGAGCAACAGGTGTTTGGGGGTACAAGGACTGAAAGGTGAAGTCAATTCCATTCCAGTAATAGAACAAGCTGTTAGGAGGACCTAGAGGTCTGTTCTTTACAGAGTGGCTCCCGAGATGTGTGTGTCTCCATGATGCGCTGTCCTGAATCCCGCAGCCCGTGTCAGAAAACCTGCCTGCTAGTGGACACGGGAGCGTGGAAGGTCAAGCACGATGCTCTCCTGCAGACACCTCTCTCAGTGCATGGAAACAGAACACTGAGCCAAGAGAGCTTGAGGCTCTGGAGTCAGTTTTTAGACTAAAACCTCTCATCGGGAGATGAGCAAATGCAACCAGAAATAAACTCCAAGTGCCTAGCACAAGCCCCTTCCTTTCTTAGTGGCTCAGGCTGCACCGTGTCAAGGTGTTGCAGAAGCTGCATTCCAGAGGGTGCCCTGATCTATTTCCTGAGCGGATCCGCAGCTGTCTGGCATCCATGGCAGCCCTGCCCAGACCATCATCCACCAATGGCAACTCTCCCAGGGGTCCAGTGTCAGCCTCAGCTCTGCATGAAACCTCCATGTCGTGTTCTGACCACTAAGGATAAAATTTGCTAAGGAGAAAGAAGTGGTGAGGGGCTGCAGTACAGTAATGACAAACAAAACTAACAAACGAGGGTTTTCTAGAGTGGATCACCACTAGAAAATGAGGTCTGCCTTCCACTTCACTCTCTTTGCCAGTCACATAGTTCCCAGAGAATAGAGCGTGACAGCTGGATGCTCAGCAAACACAGCAGCAGGACTGGAGACAGTGAATTTCTCCATTCATAAAAGTAACAAAGACAGTGCATTTCCTTTATATAGATACATGAGATGCATAAAGTAACAAATTCAACAAGAGCTTTGGATTCAGAATTTCCAGTAGTAGCAGAAGCTCAGATGTTTAAAAATTTAAATAATCTGTAGGACTCAAATCCCTTTGAATTTTATTCTAAAATTCACAGTGGTGGAATTAGCAAAGAATGGTTCCTATCAGTAACACTACCTCTCCTGCAAATATTACAAAATTCCAAGTTTACAGGTTTGGAAGGGTTAGAGAGGTGGGGCTGGAAGTATCTTATTATTCTCTACTTCACCTATTTCGTTACTATGTGTATTCTTAGTTTTCTTCAGAACAATGTATTCATCTGAATTCCTGGGCATCTAACAGGATTTCTGAGCTAAAGACCCTGTAATATCAACTAATCAATTAACTAATTTAAAAAAATCTTCTTTATCATATACACTGAATACTAAAGAATTATAAAATAAATTTATAACTTGGGTAAATATTGTCCTAAAGACTGTCATTTAGCCTGTAATGTTTAAAAGGAGTATAGTACAGTGAAGTATGAGAATTAATGACTATTCCATATATATGCACAGGTGTGTACAGGTGTTAGTGTACATGAGCACATTCAAAAACAGCATTGGAGATGGGACTCACATCTGAATGTTTAGGACATTATAGGTGGTCTTTGAAGGTATATTCATGAGTGTTGTATTCATATTTAAATAATGGAAGAAAACAGCCTCTTGCTAGTTAGCACAGATTAAAATGATTAAATGGGAAGGAGTTGCTTCAGAGATTAAACAGCCAGAAAGTTTGGCAGAGCTAGCTGATAAGTGAGTGTAGCAGTGAGAAAAATATTCCATTTTAGTGACAGAGCAAATCCACACACACACAAAAAACCCCACAGCATTAAAATTGTTATTTAAGGATACTTTGTTTCTTCGCTTGTTATCTTCTTAAACTTTTCTGCTACATTTTTCCATATCAGATGACATTATTATTTTCACTTATGGTTATTTAGGTCACCAAAGAGGTTTCTTTTGTTATTGTTTTAGGTTACAAAGTATGTTTCGGTTTATCTTACTTCCCCCTAAATGGAAATCAGACAGTGATTTTCTGAAACTTGGATTTCCTGGATCCAGATAAAGAATAAGCAGAATTTTAATACATTTTAAATCCATTTTTAAAAGCTGAATAACTGCCATCATTACAATGTAAATCTTATATTTATTTATTTATTTATTTATTTATTTATTTATTTATTTATTTTGAGACAGACTTTTGCTGTTGTTACCCAGGCTGGAGTGCAATGGTGCGATCTTGGCTCACCGCAACCTCCGCCTCCTGGGTTCGAGCAATTCTCCTGCCTCAGCCTCCCGAGTAGCTGGGATTACAGGCATGCACCATATAAAAATCAGCCCAGCTAACTTTGTATCTTTAGTAGAGACGGGGTTTCTCCGTGTTAGTCAGGCTGGTCTCGAACTCCCGACCTCAGGTGATCCGCCTGCCTTGGCCTCCCAAAGTGCTGGGATTACAGGTGTGAGCCACTGCGCCCAGCCAAATCTTAATTTTTTAAAAATGTCAAATTTGTCACATATTTTCCATTCCTCTTTATGTAAATGTATTTCAGGTATTTTCCTAATATATAGAAACTAATTTGTGTGTCTTTGCCTATCAGTCATAGAACTGTACACCTTAAATAACTTAGAAAATAAAGGATGTGCCTCTTCCAGAAGTCCTTTACAATTTCTTAATTCTTTTAAATCTTTTTCATGGAAGTAAAGTACTGTGAGGCTAAGCCTTGGCTTATGGAAACTTCTAGGTAATATGTATCTTCAAAATAACCTGTAAAGAAGTGGTTTTATTTTGTTACAGACCTAAATATGTCAACAACGCTTTTTGCTAGGTCTTAAGACAAATTATATACATTTTTGAATATTAAGATTTTAACTCACACAAAATATGAAGTATCCTGTCCTTTTATGGGGACTGGTCAATAAAGTCTTAATTACTGTTACAACTGATTAAAAATCTTATTGAGAATCTACTATATGTGATCTAGGTGACTAACTCAGATACCATGATAACGACTTCAACAGTTATCATATGGCAATCTGAAATTAGATTCCTTATTTCTTTTAAACCAGTGTAATAATATATCTCTAATAATCTTATTTTAACTTTTTTTTTTTTTGAGATGGAGTCTGGCGCCTCCCAGGTTCAAGCAATTCTCCCTGCCTCAGCATTCCAAGTCGCTGGGATTACAGGCACCTGCCACCACGCTCAGCGAATTATTGTTTTTTTGTTTTTGTTTTTGTTTTTGTTTTTTTGGTAATAGAGTCTTGCTCTGCCGCCCAGGCTGGAGTGCAACGGTGCGATCTCGGCTTACTGCAACCTTCGTTCAAGCGATTCTCCTGCCTCAGCCTCCTGAATAGCTAGGATTATAGGTGCATGCCACCACGCCCAGCTGATTTTTGTATTTTTAGTAGAGACGGGGTTTAATAATGTTGGTCAGGCTCATCTCGAACACCTGACCTCAGGTGATCCACCCACCTCGGCCTCCCGAAGTGTTGGGATTACAGGCGTGAGCCCTCACGTCTGGCCAATATCTCCAATAATCTTTCTAAATTGGAGTCTGTTGGGTTCTTTGTCCTCCTCACAAAACACATGAAGGACTTCCTTTGGTAGAGAATAACTAAACAAAGAACATGGTTTCTACAATGAAATGCAAATTCCCCAAACAAAAGGCCTTCATTTCAAAATATTAGACAGTAACTCACAGTCCCTACATTTCCAGTAATTAAAGCAAAAGGCTGAACAAAGGTCCTCAAAGTACATCCTTGGGATCTATGGTATTTAATTCTATTGGAAGCTGATCTCTCCAAATATTTTAGTCTGGATGCTTGAGAATGTGGTGACAGGTCTTTGGGCTAAAACATTTCAGTACCACAAAGGTCTGCTTCACATGTGTTACTGCCACTTAGAGATGACCAGGTGTGCACCCCTCTGTCCCAGTGGGAAAGAAATAGGGGTGTTGCCCACATATAAGTCTTTTTCTTTCAGAATGAATCTGCCTGAGCTTAGGTTCTCATCCCTTTTCAATTCACTTGGGAAGTTATTGCTGTCTGAACTTGAGTCCATCTAGACAATTACCCCAAACCTTTAAGCAGGACAGTTAAGTAAATTGCACTTTTAATATGGTCATCACACTTTTAAAATTAAAATTTGGAAATAAACATACTGTCTCTTCTGGCATCTGACTTTCTAATTTTATACCTTTTTCAATTTCTCCAAATGGGAGCTGCTCTTGAGTGGATCCTTTTACACAGTGGTTTTTCTAATGGTTGATCTTTATAATGCAGGGTTCTCACACATATCTGTGTCCTAGTATGTGATATACTTACAGAACTAGGCAGTCTAGCTCTGTTCCGTGTATATTGCAGTGATACTTCTGTGCCCTGCGCTGAGATGCTTCCACTGGTTAGTGGTGCTTCTTCTGCTCTGTGATTCTAACCACTGCAATCACCAACAATCATCAGTCTCTGATATGATTACAGAAAAGCCGTGAAAAGACAAACTATGAAAGGGAGGTGAGACATCCAGCAAGAGGGTCCTGAAGTAAGGAGTCCATGAAAGTGTCCCCATGATACCTGTTCAGCTTATTTTTTAAAAGAACATAAGAAACACACAAACAAAAAGAACATGAGGCTTCCTGCTTTGGCAGAACCTGTGTTGATATTGTGGAAATTTAAGGATCTTAGGCCAGGTGTGGCCTCATGCCTGTAACCCCAGTGTGTTGGGAGGTCGAACAGGAGAATCTCTTGTGGCCAGGAATTCGAGATCAGCCTGGGCAACATAGCAAAATCCTATCTCTACAAAAATATAAAAATTAGCTGGGGGTGGCACATGCCTGTGGCCCCAGCTACTTGGTAGGCTGAGGCAGGAGAATTGCTGGAGCCTAGGAGTCAGAGGCTGCAGTGAGCTGTGATGGCACCACTGTATTCCAGCCTGGGCAACACAGTGGGACCCTGTCTCCAACAACAACAACAAAAGAATCATATACCATGGTATTTCTCCAATGAGCCTCGACCTCCACAAGATGCTAAGAATACCCAAACCCTATCACACAGAGAGGCAAAAAGAAGGTATTCTCCTGCGTTCAGGGTGGTTAGCGTGGGCTGGATGCTTACCTGGGTCGGGCCTCAGAGGGTAGCTGCAGGTCACCGTAGGAGGGGCTCCGGGGGGCCGCCTGCTGCAGGGAGGAGCTGTGCACGTGCTTTGGGGACCGTGGCACTTCAGTGAAGGAGGAACTGCACTCAGACAAAGAGAAGGTTGAGGAACTCTCTGCTGCTGGGGACAGGTCATGGGCCTGCCGGGTGGCACTCAGCTCTTGACCTCGTCTTTGGTTTTCCACATTCAGTAGCACCTCTGGGTCGGAAGCACCGTCACCCCCACGGAGGGCATAGTCCTTGGATTCACCTGCACAGGTCCTGAGCCCCATTGTCTCGGTCCTGGGGTACGGAGAACTCGCATCTCTGCTTGACTCTTCCTGTTTGTCACTTTTTCCTCCTCGTTTCTCGACAGCATCAGGCTCCTTCCTGGACTTGGTATAGCGGGATACTCAGAGTCGGCCTTGGGATGCAGAGTCAGCGCGTATTTCTCTGCCAGCTGTCGCCTTCTTTCTGCATTGTACCTTGCAGTTCTTTTGGCTTTGGACTCCAGACTGTGGGTGTCCATGGTACCTGAACCGTAGGGTGAGTCACTGTAGATGCTGGAGGTGGTTGTGCAGTATTTAGCGCGAGCCCTTCCTTTCCCTTCCCTTCCCGTCCCTTCCCTTCCCTTCCCTTCCCTTCCCTTCCCTTCCCTTCCCTGCCCTGCCCTGCCCTGCCCTGCCTTTCCTTTCCTTTCCTGTCCTTTTTTCAGAGTCTTGCTCTGTCACCCAGGCTGGAGTGCAGTGGCTCGATCTTGGCTTGCTGCAAACTCTGCCTCCTAGGTTCAAGCGACTCTCCTGCCTCAGCCTCCCGAGTAGCTGGGATTACAGGCACACGCCACCATGCCCAGCTAATTTTTTCTATTTTTAGTAGAGATGGGGTTTCACCATATTGGTCTGTATGGTCTCAATCTCTTGACCTCGTTATTCACCCGTCTTGGCCTTCCAAAGTGCTGGGGTTACAGTCGTGACCCACCGCGCCGGACCAGAGTTTGCTTTTCCAGAGGAGAATCAGAAGTTTCCTCCTCTTCATTTGATCGGCCTACAAGAAGGTCACATGGATGAGAGGTGCAGATTTCAAGTAAAGACACGTATTTACACATAGAGTGACACTCTCTGCTGCACACAGCACACACCCGGGTGCCCATGCGGTGAAGGACCAGTTTCTCACTGAGGTGTGTTCACCTAAAGTGATTATTTACCTGGACTGCAGAAGAAGTCTGAGATCTGCAGTGAAATCTACAAAGGCTGTGAATGTGCATGTTCTACAAGCCCCGTAAGGCGTGGCTTTAATTTAAGCTCAGCCCCTTCACTCCCGAGTGCCTCCATCCTTGTTCAGTGATTATTTCCGCTTATTGACTTACCCTTTTCTATAGAGTTTAGCATTTCATGTGGGAGACCACAGGATGAGTTGAGTCCTCTGGGAAAGACAGCAGACAACTGAGGTGCTGTCAACGGACAAGTGATGGTTGCTGGTTTCCCAGGATCTGAGAGTAACCATAACAATGTGACCCATATCATTATTCACCAGGCTTTTCTTTCTTTTACAGAAGTGTTTTTTTTCTTTTTTCCTTTTCTTTTTTTTTTTTTTTTTTTTTGAGATGGAGTCTCACTCTGTAACCCAGGCTGGAGTGCAGTGGCGTGATCTCCACTCACTGCAAGCTCCGCCTCCCAGGTTCATGCCATTCTCCTGCCTCAGCCTCCCGAGTAGCTGGGACTACAGGTACCCATCACCACACCCAGCTAATTTTTTGTATTTTTAGTAGAGACGGGATTTCACTGTGTTAGACAGGATGGTCTTGATCTCCTGACCTCGTGATCTGCCCACCTCGGCCTCCCAAAGTGCTGGGATTACAGGCGTGTTTTTTTTCTTTTTGTGATGGAGTCTCGCTCTGTTACCCAGGATGGAGTGCAGTGGCCTGATCTCGGCTCACTGCAACCTCCGCCTCCTGGATTCAAGCGATTCTCCTGCCTCCCCCTCCTGAGTAGATGGGATTACAAGCACCCACCACAATGCCTGGGTAAGTTTTTGTATTTTTAGCAGAGACAAGGTTTCACCATATTGGCCAGGCTGGTCTCAAACTCCTGACCTCAGGTGATCTGCCTGCCTCAGCCTCCCAAAGTACTGGGATTACAAGCATAAGCCACCGCGTCCTGCCCTTTGTTTCTAATTATAGCACACGTGCCTGATGTAGGGAATGTCTAATATGGGCCTGGCATGGTGGCTCACACCTGTAATCCCAGCGCTTTGGGAAACTGAGGTGTGAGGGTGGCTTGAGGCCAGGAGTTTGAGACCAGTCTGGGCAACATAGTGAGACCCTCTTTCTACCAAAAGAGTTTTTTTTTTTTTTTTTTTTTTTTAATTAGCTGGGCCTGATGGCATGTATCTGTAGTCCCAGCTACTCAGGAGGCTGAGATGGGCAGATAGCTTGAGCCCAGAAGTTCAAGACTGCCACGAGCTACGATACTGCAACTGCACTCCAGCCTGGGCAAGAGAGCAACACCCTGTTTCTAAAAAAAAAAAAAAAGAATGAAAGAAAAGAAAATGTCTAACATGAAGACAAATGAAAGTAAAAACCCAAATAACCAATAATCACCCTACACACTAATAACGGCATTTTTATATATTCCTTTTTATATAGTCTAGTCTTTTATAGAATTGATTTTTTCTGTATAAAATACTTAATGAAGGCCAGGTGCAGTGGCTCACGCCTGTAGTCCCAACACTTTGGGAGGCCGAGGCAGGTGGATCATGAGGTCAGGAGATCAAGACCATCCTGGCCAACATGGTGATACCCAGTCTCTACTAAAAAATTAGCTGGCTGTGGTGGTGCATGCCTGTAATCCCAGCTATTCGGGAGGCTGAGGCAGGAGAATCACTTGAACTAGGGAGTCAGAGGTTGCAGTGAGCCAAGATCGTGTCACTGCACTCCAGCCTGGTGACTGAGCAAGACTCTGTCTCAAAAAATAATAATAAAATAAAATATTTAATGTTATTAATGTTTTATATAAAAATTCTCCCACATTTGGAAATCTATTTTGAAGACATCATTTTTTAAGGATTGTAACAGTCTAATGGGCATTCCATTATGACCTGAATCCTTCCCATATTGCTGGGTATCTAAGTTGTTTCTAACTTCCAATCAGTTTGATATTCTGATTTCTTTCACAATAGACTCATAAAAGTAGAATGGCTTTATCAAAGGGTACATCATTTTAAGACTTACTAGAGTGTCAAATTAATTTCCATAAAGTCTGCATCAATTTATGCTTGCATCTGCAATACATACTTCCTCATAAACACAGAGTGCTTTTTAAGTCCTTCATTACTAGAAAAAGAGAAGATATGCATTTATTCATTTGTGTATCAGCTATTTATATTTTCTATTTCTTCTCTGGAATGCCTGCTTATGCTTATTGCACAGTGTCCTATTGATTCATAGTGGGTTTTAAAAATTGTTTTGTATAAACTTTTTTTCTTTTTTGCTGTTTCTCTGCTTTACCTGAATTAAAAGTTCACTTCGCTTTTCCATTATTTACTTTACATTAATCACATGAGTAACTGGAACTAACTATTGGGTTTGGTATGAAGTGGGAAGAGGAATATGCCTCTCCCCATCCCCTGGCGAACCTGTTTTTCCATTACTATTTCATTAAAAAACTCTTCCTTTTCTCACTAGTGTGTGATGCTTAAACTATCGTATGCCACACAGAGTCTTACTCTGTCACCCAGGCTGGAGTGCAGTGGCATGATCTTGGCTCACTGCAACTTCCATTTCTCGGGTTCAAGCAGTTCTTGTGTTTCAGTTCCCTGAGTAGCTGGGATTACAGGTGTGCACCACCATGCCTGGCTAATTATTGTATTTGTAGTGGAAACGGGGTTTCACCATGTTGGCCAGGCTGGTCTCAAACTCCTGGCCTCAAGTGATCCACCCATCTCGGCCTCCCAAAGTGCTGGGATTAGAGGGATGAGCCATTGTGCTCGGCCTGTTTTGTGTAAACTTTTAAGAATATGAGCCCTTTGTCTTCTTCATGAATATTTTCCAACTCACTTGTGGATTAATTTTGTTGTGAAGTCTACGTGTTTGTAAGGTTCCCTTACAATGTACAGATGTTGATTTTTATATAGTCAAGGCAACTGACTTGAACTTTTGGTGATTTCTTCAGCTGTTTCTGTGCTTTACCTGAATTAAATGTTCACCTCTCTTTTCCATTATTTTCTTTACATTAATCACATGAGTAACTAGAACTAACTATTGGGTTTGGTATGAAGTGGGAAGAGGAATATGCCTCTCCCCATCCCCTGGCGAACCCGTTTTTCCATTACTATTTCACTAAATAATTCTTCCTTTTCTTACTAGTATGTGATGCTTAAACTATCGTATGCCACACAGATTAACATTTCACATACAGTAGGGTTTATTCTGGCTACAAATTTTGGGACTCTGATCTGTCTATTATTGATTTTTCATGCTTGTAATTTTTTTAAGAGGTGAGGTCTGGTTATGTTGTCCAGGCAAGTCTTGTTCTCCTGCGGTCAAGCTATCCTCCTGCCTCAGCCTCCCAAAGTGCTGGAATTACAGGCATGAGCCACCACGCCCAGCCATATGTACATATATATTTAGATCTCTAGTTTTCTGACCACAGAAGATTAGAAACTATAGAGACAAACAAACTGATATCATCATGAAGTGAGATCAACAGCTCTCTCTGAAGAAGAAACTAGAAAACACTGGCTATAAAAAGCAGCAGAATGGCCAGGCACGGTGGTTCACGCCTGTAATCCCAGTACTTTGGGAGGCCGAGGCGGTCAGATCACCTGAGGTCAGGAGTGCGAGACCAACTTGGTCAACATAGTGAAATCCCGTCTCTACCAAAATACAAAAAATAATTAGCCAGGCATGGTGGTGGGTGCCTGTAATCCCAGGTGTTTGGGAGGCTGAGGCAGGAGAACTGCTTGAACTCAGAAGGTGGAGGTTCCAATGGGCTGAGATTGCACCATTGCACTCCAGCCGGGGCAACAGGAGCGAGGCTCCATCTCAAAAATAAATAAATAAAATAAAAAATAAAAAGCAGCAGCAACAGCACCTCAGAGCCAGGGACTGTGGTGGGAAGAGCAGCCCTGTGTGCATCCTCCTCTCCTAAGGTCAACTTGAATATTTGATGACAACAGTGACTGAGTGATTAGGGAAAAGCTGAGTCATGCGCCCTCAACATACTGTTTAAGATGAAAGAAGTACGCAACGTATTTAAAATTACCTACATTAAAATAACTTAAATAGGATGTTTTGTTGCATATCCAGAGTAAGAACCATAACCATTCAAGGTGCAGCTTTGCCTCTAATGCTCCCTGCTGAGAGCAGCTGCTCCCTGTGCTGGCTGAGAACCTTGAGAGGCCCCTATCTCAGAGCACATATCTTGTGCTGGACCCTGAGGGTGCAGAAAAAGTTACTGCCTTTGAGGGCCCCAGTCAAGGGAGGAAAATGACTGGCCCTCAGTTACCCAACAATGTGCCGAGAGGAATCATTTCATACTGCTGTGACATGGAAGGCCATATCTGTGAGGCGGGGCAGAGATGATATACATGTTGTTGCTGTTTTTAACAAATACTTTTAATAGTTGGGCATGGTGGCATACGCTGGTAGTCCCAAGTACTCAGGAGGCTGAGGTGGGAGGATCATTTGAGCCTGGGAGGTTGAGGCTTCGGTGAGCTGTGATCAGGCCTCTGCACTCCAGCCTAGGTGACAGAGTGACACGCTGTCTCTAAAATAATAGTAATAATAAATAAACAAAACCCAAATACATTTAATAAAAAATTAGGCCAGGTGCAGTGGCTCGCACCTGTATTCCCAGCACTTCCGAAGGCCAAGATGGGAGGCTCACTTAAAGCCAGGAGTTCAAGACCAGCCTGTGCAACATAGTGAGACTCTACCTCTACAAAAAAGTTTAAAAAAATTAGCCAGGTGTGGTGATGCACACCTGTGGTCCCAGCTACTCAGGAGGCTGGAGTGGGAGAACCCTGGAGCTTGAGCCCAAGTGTCAAGGCTGCAGTGAGCTATGATTGTGCCACTGCATTCCAGCCTCTGTGACAGAGTGAAATCTTGTCTTAAAAAAAATTATATCCACACAATTCACTTCTGTGGAATATCTCACGTTCTGATACCACTGGGTGGAAAAGGCGACGTGTAACCAGCCAGGCAGCCTGCTGGAAAATGGGCCACCCAGCTCCACGCTCACCGATGTGGGGGCTGGCAGGGTCGCTGGCTCGCATGTATCGAGGGGTGTCTTCCTCCAGCAGGCGGTGAGTCACCAACCCTGTGCAGCTCTACAAGAGGATGGGCTGGGTGTCATTTTCAATCCCTTCCAGGCGCCTGGCAATTCTTTCTTTTCTGTGAGATACACAAGAGGCAGAGTGAGCAACAGCGATCTAGTCTAAAGGAAAACGGAATACTGCTTTGCCAAGCTCTTCTAATAACTCCGTACTATGAAGATCTTACCTGCTTCACCTGGGTGCGGTGGCTCACACCTGTAATTCCAGCACTTTGGGAGGCTGAGACAGGTGGATCACCTGAGGTCAGGAGTTCAAGACCAGCCTGGCCAACATGGTGAAACCCCATCTCTACTAAAAATACAAAAATTAGCCAGGCATGGTGGTGTGTGCCTGTAATCCCAGCCACTTGGAAGGCTGAGGCAGGAGAATCACTTGAACCTGGGAGGTGAAGGTTGCAGTGAGCCACGATGGCACCATTGCATTCCAGCCTGGGCTACAGAAAACTCCATCTCAAAAAAAAAAAAAAAAAATCTTAACTTCTAATTTCTAAGAATTCTTTTCTCTTTGGTTCAAAAATTTGTCTTAATTCACAACTGAAACAAAACCAAAAAAGAACAAGATATAGTATTAGTAGTTATATGCTCACTTTATTCACTCATGCAACATCTTTATTGAACTGCAAATTTCAGTTCTTGGTTGCTATGTGACAGTGACATGCAAAGCTGACCAAGTTCCTGCTTTCTTGGAGATTGTTTTTCATGAGGGGAGGCAGATGCCAAATGAAGAAGAGTTCACACACACACGGATGCATCATCCTCTCCTAAAATCAAGTTGAGTATTTGATACTCATAACAATGACTATCAAGGCAAAGCTAAGACATGTTTTAAGTCAGATCCTCAAAGTATTGTTTAATATGAAATAAATATGTAATATATTTAAAATTGCATACATTAAAATAATTTAAATATAATGTGTTGTGGTATATACATTGCAACACCTATATAGGTGACTCATGTAAATGTCACATATATAGGTTGGCAAGGAACTAAAATCATACAGGGTAAGGGAGAAGGTTCTGTTTCATCTAGGGGAATCCAGGGAGACCTGGCGAGCAAGATCTCTCTAGGAAAGTATTTAGGCAGAAATCTCAATAACTGTTACTAACTTTTGTTTGATTTAACAAAGTATTCTAAGCTTTTACTATGGAAATCATTTACAGAAGTGTAGACTAGGAGTGTGAACCCCACAGGGCCATCGGCAAGCTGCAAGCATGAATTCACAGCGGCTCCTCCTCCTCCCTCTCATGGAATCTGTCAATGGCTGTAACTATCTGATTGTTTCCCACAGTGCCTAAAGTGGCCGCTTCAATTAGCTACAGTTTAGATGAACACAGGTCCTCCGCCTCCATGCACAGGCTTTTGCTGGAAGGAAATGTTAACAGTGGTTTCCTTGCTATAATTTAGGTGGATGATGGGCAAGGTAATGACCCCAATGTTTCTGGCAGCAGTGGAGAAACAGAACAAACGATGTGCTGAGGATGGGAGGTTCTCACATGATACTGACCACCAGCATATTACTGAGATGCCAGACAACTGTTTCTTTGGAGAAATGGCCACAGTTCTCTCTTCTTGCCTGCTCCTCAATCGCTTAAATTCATAGAGGCTCATCCGTGTGACTCTTATGAAGGACTCAGGAAGGGTTGGGAGAAAGAAAGGGAGGTGGCTGGACAGCCCGGGGCCAGGGCCAATGAGAAGTTTTGAAAGGCTGAGTCACAGGAGAAACTCAAAGGAATTTGATTTTTGACTGCTTCAATTTCCGTTTCTTTTCTCAAAGTGGTAATTTTTAGTAGTGAGTCAAAACTACACACACACACACGCACATGCACGCACACACGTGCACACACACACATAGCTTTTATATTGCCCTTTTTTTTTTTTTTTTTAAGACAGAGTCTCACTCTGTTGCTCAGGCTGGAGTGGCGTGGTCTCGGCTCCCTGCAACCTGTGCCTCCCAAGTTCAAGCGATTCTCCTGCCTCAGCCCCTCAAGTAGCTAGGATTACAGGTGCCCACCACCATGCCCAGCTAATTTTTATATTTTTAATAGAGATGGGGTTTTGCCGTATTGGCCAGGCTCACTGAAGCCTCAACCTCCCAGGCTCAAATGATCCTCCCACCTCAGCCTCCTGAGTACTTGCCTGCCTTGGCCTCCCAAAGTGCTGGGATTACAGGCATGAGCCACCGCGTCTGGCCTTATATTGTCCTTTGACTGTGTTCAGAGATGTCAGCCTTGCTTTTCTTCATTTATTTTTACGTGATAGCCACCTTAAAACTAGTTGAATTGACTTTTGTTAGGGTAGCTGGCTTCAAAAAGACAAAGTCTCTCTGTCTGTGACTTCAAAAAAGTCTCTCAGTTGGTCTCTGCAGGAATCAGAGTAGCTGGAAGCAGAGTTGCTTGTCTTATAAAGGTAATTATGTTGCTATTTAGAAGACAGGGGTATAGTGAGAATGGGGCACCCTGCCACGCAGCCTCGGGAGAGGAGGCTTGGCCAACAACAACAGCTTCCCCATCAACAAATTAGCCCTAGTGAGATTATGGTGATAAAACTTTAATGGTTGTTAGGACATATTTTGAAAATATTTTCAAAGATGACAAAAAGCGAAACGTTTTAATCAGTTATTTAAACCCCAAAGAGGAGAGTGGAGCCAAATTTTTCAAAAGGCCACTCAAGAAGCCATCGAAATCAAATTCCAAGGGTGCCTCAAAGGTACGACTTGAACCCATGCCTCAAACCCTAATTGAGAAATAGAAAATATTAGTAGGGTCCTAAGTAGCATTATCACATTTCCTTCATTTCCTTTTCTTTTCTTTTTTTCTTTTCTTTTTTTTTTTTTTTAACAGTGTTATGGCTTTTGTAGTTCGGTGAGCAGGAGGAAACAGTGCCCAGTGGCTTTTTTCTCCCTGCTTGCTTGGCGGGAGGGAGGGTGACAGTGTTACAGGAGTCCCTTGGTGCCACTTCGCCAGCCAGAAATCTCTGCAGTTGTGGTGACCTGTGTCCAGGGCCTTGCTTGGGCCTACAGGCTCACTCTGCCCACTCGGCCAGCAGGCTGTACTCCGTGGTTCTACCAACCCAGATCCTGTGCCTGCTAAGGCTCCACCCTCAGTCCACGGCTGGACCAGGTGTGCAACAAGCAGCTTCTGTGTTGGGTGCCACCGTCTAGACAAGGGGAACACAGTGGCACCAAAAAACTTGGAGATGCCAGCAACCATGGAGCTCCAAGGAATGTTGCAGCTCTCGGCTGGGGAGTCCCAATGTCTGAACTCCCAAGAAATGCAGCTCTTCACTCCTGTAGCTCAGTGAGTGGGAGCTTTGCCATAAGCCCTTTTATTCCAGCCGCTTGCAGCTTGGCGAGCAAAAGGGTGTGACACTCAGCGGCTTTTTTCACTCCCACAGTTCAGGGAGCAGGGGCATTCTACAGCTTTTTCACTCCTGTTGCCCACAGCTTGGCAAGCAGGGACACTTACAGCTCATATCTACCCGCTGCCCACAGCTCGGCGAGTTCAGGGTTCTTGTCCTGTGACCAAGAAGAATAAGACGGGCAGCGCTGGAGAGTGAGTAGGGCAGAGAAGAATTTTATTGAGTGACAGAAGGAAAGCTCTCAGCGGAGAGGGGACCCTAGAGTGGGCAGCACTCAGCTGCAAGAAGGGCCCATGAGCAGGTAGCCCTCTGTGAGGCTGAGGTCGGAGGCTTTTATGGGCTTAGAATGGGGTAGTGCATGCTGACTGGTCCATAGGCAGGTTTTGGAAAAAGTACCATTTGACTGGTTAAAAGGCATCATCCACTTTGGGAGGCTGAGGCAGGCAGATCACGAGGCCAAGAAATCGAGACCATCCTGACCAACACAGTAAAACCCTGTCTCTACTAAAAATACAAAAATTAGCTGGGTGTGGTGGCTCGTGCCTGTAGTCCCAGCTACTCGGGAGGCTGAGGCTGGAGAATCACCTGAACCTGGGAGGTGGAGGTTGCAGTGAGCCAAGATCATGCCACTGTACTCTAGCCTGGTGACAAAGCGAGATTCCATCTCAGGGGGAAAAAAAAAAAAAAAGTATCATTGAGAAGGAACCAATAGAGAGAGACAGGGTAAGATGGTGATAGAAGTTCTCAGGCTGGTTATGGGCTCTATCTGGAACCAGGAGCTTGGTTTTTGGGCTTTAGGCTCTCTTTGGATTGAAGGTCGGGTTTCACCGGGGACCTGTCCCTGTCTGCCTAGGAATGTGTCTGTCTCCTGTCACCATCAACAGGGTCTCTGTCACACAGGCTGGAGTGCAGTGGTATGATCACAGCTCACTGCAGCCTCAACCTCCCAGGCTCAAGTGATCCTCCCACCTCAGCCTCACATGTTAGCTGGGACTACAGGCACACACCACCACGCCCGGCTAGATTTTTGTATTTTTGTAGAGACGGGGGTTTCACCATGTTGCCCAGGCTGGTCTTGGACTCCCGGGCTCAAGCGATCCCTCGGCCTCGGCCTCGGCCTCCGAAAGTGCTGAGACTGCAGGCACAGCCTGATAGTTCCCTTCTCCCCCCCACACTATTTCATCTGGGTAAGGATCAAAACCATTAACACACACACAGTGTCATAATCAGTAGTTGAGTGCCAAGATCATTAGTTGATCTTTCCTTCTGGAATGCTTCCTGCCATTCTCTATTCCCTGTATTCCAGAAGGAAAGATCAGCTAATCGGGAGACTGTGCAAGCCTCCTGCCCACAGGAAAGGTAGACTTTCCTGCCGCCCTTACTGCCCTGTTTCAGTATTCTATAAGGACAAAGATAACATGAGAAGGAAGCCAGGATGCAGTTCATCACAGAAGCTGAACCTCAGCCAGGAGCAGCGAGAACCAAGAGAAGGACAGCGGACAGGCTGAGTCATCCTATTGCCCATGGAGATCTTTGTCCTCTTCTGGACAAAACAGGCTAAGCAGCCCACCAGTGAACACTGCCCTCTGTTAGCCATACACTTCTGGGCATAAGAAGAGAAGTTCTCAGGATAGGATTTAACAGACACACAGAGGTACCTCATCAGGGTCATGGACTCAGGAGGCTGGCTCCAGAGAACTC